TGAGCCTCTCCTGCCCACGTCACCTGCTGCCTTGACCTCACTTCTACACCTGACGGTCGTGGCTCAGTCTGTTCAGAGTCAAACATGATCCACCGAAAGCCAGGTCAGCCCTTGACCCTAAACCCTCCAGTCCTTCCCTGCCTCTTAGGTCAGAGCCACAGCCCTTGAAGAAGCCTGCCTGCCTTCTGCCCTGTCATTGGTCTTCCTTCCAAGGCCAGCCACATGTTTGTCTCCAGGATGTGACCTTGTCCTTCTTTCCTCCTGGAATGCTCTTACCCCAGGCCATCATGTGGCCTTGGGATGCTTATTAGTTCTCCTCTGTGTTCCACCCTTCCTTTTCTCATGCAGCACTCAGCAGATTGTAGATTACCTGTTCATCTCCATCCTGTAAGCTCTGTGACAGCAAGGATGTTGTGTCTCCAGTGGGATCAAAGCTTGGACCTAGAGCGAAGCTTGGTGCTTGGGAGATGCCCATTATGGGCTACCTTTCCAAGTGGGAGAATAGGTAAATCAGTAGGTGACTCAGGCTGTGTGTGGTCCTGCCTGGACTCACATCCCATGTACATTTGGCACTGGCCAGGAGGGACTTGTTTGGTCTTCGTGGTCTTGTGGATAAAGAGCACTTGTTTGCATAAAGGTGATTTGAGTGCAGAGACATAGCAGCTTGCCTCTGTTGTTAGGTAACATGTCCTGGTAGCAAGTGGGTGCTTATAGTTACTGGGACATTAATACACAAGCATCATTTGAGTTCAGCCATAGCCATTTCCGAGATAATGAGACAGCTCGGAAAGTGCTTGTTTATTTTAAACCTTCCTTCTGTAGTAGAGTCAACTACAGTTGAGAATTACTTTTGGATAAAACCAAATTATTCTGTCCTCATTCTTTGTAGAGAAATGTATGCTTAAAAATTTTCTCATCCTTTTTATATCCAAAAGTTTAGAGGGCTTTTTGTTTGTTTGTTTTTAATGCCTCAGTTCAGGGGCTGGAGAGATGGCTCACAGGCTAAGAGCCCTTGCTGGCCTTGAAGATGACTCAGGTTCAGTTCCTAGCATACACAACCATCTGTAACTCCAGTTCCAGGGATCTTATGCCCCCTTCTGGACACTGCACACATGTGGTACACATTCAGGCATGCACATAAATACTCATGCATATAAGATAAAAATAAATAAATCTTTAAGAAAACAAAAAGCCCTTGGTTCAGAGGAATATCTTTGTGTAGCCACAACTGTCCCATCAATCACATATTTACTTGAGGAGTTTTCCTACACTCTGGCAGCCTCATGCCAACACAGTGATTTGTCACATAGAAGATCAAGGAGGTCCCATCCAGGGCCTGACCCCGTCCATTGCCGTCCTAGGCTGCTTCCCTGTTCTGCTCTAGGATAGACAGGAGGGTCTTAGCCCCCGCCTGGCAGGCTCAGTCAGGTTCTTGGACCTGGGGAGGGAGTAGGTATTGGGCCGTGCCCTTTGCTACAAAATCAGCAATTAAAAAAATGTCAATAGAGGCTCATGGAGAGCACCATGTGCATCACACTGACTGCTTTGAAACAGATGTGCTGTTGAGGAAGACCGCGACTACTCTCTGAAGGCTTGCTTTGTTTCTCTAACGGTGTTCTCTCTGTACGCCAGGCTCTGCCCTAAGAGGGTTTGACACATTGCTTGTCTTCTCCCTTCCCCACGCTCCCTCTCCCTTCACTCCTCCTGTCTCCCATGCTCTGTGTTGGGTTTGTCCACCTCTGCTCCTCTCCAGACTACTTAACTCTCTTTGATCCATTCATCGCTTCTGAAATGTCTCGCAGTCCTTTTTTAAATCTTCATTCACAACACACTCCTGCAGTCTGTACTGATTTCTTCTGTCTTAGTCTTATGTTCGCTGTGCTCCTGGGAGCAGGTTGAGCCAGAAGCAGTGGACTACCACCACCTAAAACGTAAGGCCACACATGGAGTGAATGGACACCAGTGGTACTAGGGTGGGGGTGGGGGCTGGTATTCTCTCTTTTGGGGTCTTTGTCTTGTTCATAAAAGAATTTATAAGCAGTCTCAGAGGGACACTCTGGGATGCTTTTATTTTCTCAGGGAACAACAGCAGGGAGTGCTGAGTGGTGGAAGCTTAGCCAGCCTCTGTGAATGAACAGAGAGGAGATGTTTGACAGGAGTTGTCCGTGGCCTTTTGAGCAAAGTGGCTGAGGCTTAGGAAGAGCAGCAAAGCTGTTTTTTGCAGAGTGACTCCGGGTAAAACAGCTCGAATGGGGTGAGGTGGGCAGCTTCCCATCTCCTTCCCTTCTTTGTTAAGATCTGTAACCTTTGGAGTTGGCTGGGTACCCAAGCGTGGTTTAGCATCCCAGACTAGGATGTGGTCCTGAGGCCAGAATCCTTGCACCTTATAGAAAACAAGTTACATGAAGGATGCATATGCACAGTGGGTACTCTAAGGACATACACTCAGAAGTACACACTGCATCTCTTGGACATATTACATATGATACCAGTGGCTGAATACGCCACTGTGGTATTACTTGAATTTAGCCATTATTTTTATCAGTTTGTTTTAATTACATGGCCATGGGGATCAGAGTTTAGAATTGAATGGCATTATTAGAATCAGGCAGGATGAGAACAATGAGCCCCCCTCCCCCCAGGGAGATGTCCATCTCAGGGTATTTGTATAACTCTCAAGGACTTGAAGGATGCCTTGCAAGGCAGAAGTGACAGTAGGCCCTGTGTGCAGAGTAACCTGGGGGATTAGGCCACAGAGCAGTGATTTCCTAGGTAACTGTAAGAATTGGCTTTTAAGGGAGCCAAGAGAAATCCTTCCCTCTCAAGCACAGGGAATTGGAGAGCAGCCCTCATCTGACCTTTTCCCTGGAGCTTGAAGTCTCAAGGTCACAGCTGTGACTCTGAATCCAGAGTGAGATCTGGAAAGCAAACCCTTGTGCCCCCGTGTGCATGCACTGAGGGTAGTGCCTCTGCTGTGGGCAGTGTGGCTGGTGGAAAATCAATGTTGGAACCTTACTGCATGGAGCCTGAGCCTCTACCCATCATGACCAACTGGCTCTGGCTATCCAGTGAGGGTGATTACATGTGGTGTTTTTGGGGGCCTTTGAGAGGATAATTTGGTGAGATTCCTGGCTCTCCCATAATGTAGAGCACACACTCTGCCTGTTGGTAAATGTAACCTCTGATTTATTAAAGTTTTAGAAAGTTAAATGATCATCTGAAAGCTGATACTGTGATAGGTGGAGTATGATGCAGTGAGGGGTGGGGTGTGATGCAGGGGTGGGGTGGGGTGTGATGCAGGGGTGAGGTGTAACACAGTGAGGTGAGGTGTGATGCAGGGGTGGGGTGTAACACAGTGAGGGTGGGGTGTGATGCAGGGGTGAGGTGTAACACAGTGAGGGGTGGGGTGTGATGCAGGGGTGGGGTGGGGTGTGATGCAGGGGTGGGGTGTAACACAGTGAGGGGTGAGGTGTGATGCAGGGGTGGGGTGTAACACAGTGAGGGTGGGGTGTGATGCAGGGGTGGGGTGTAACAGTGAGGTGAGGTGTGATGCAGGGGTGGGGTGTAACACAGTGAGGGTGGGGTGTGATGCAGGGGTGGGGTGTGATGCAGGGGTGGGGTGTGATGCAGGGGTGGGGTGGGGTGTGATGCAGGGGTGGGGTGGGGTGTGATGCAGGGGTGGGGTGGGGGTGTGATGCAGGGGTGGGGTGTAACACAGTGAGGTGAGGTGTGATGCAGGGGTGGGGTGTAACACAGTGAGGGTGGGGTGTGATGCAGGGGTGGGGTGTAACACAGTGAGGTGGGGTGTGATGCAGGGGTGGGGTGTAACACAGTGAGGTGAGGTGTGATGCAGGGGTGGGGTGTAACACAGTGAGGGTGGGGTGTGATGCAGGGGTGGGGTGGGGTGTGATGCAGGGGTGGGGTGGGGTGTAACACAGTGAGGGTGAGGTGTGATGCAGGGGTGGGGGTGTGATGCAGGGGGTGGGGTGGGGTGTGATGCAGGGGTGGGGTGGGGGTGTAACACAGTGAGGTGGGGTGTGATGCAGGGGTGGGGTGTGATGCAGGGGTGGGGTGGGGGTGTGATGCAGGGGTGGGGTGGGGTGTAACACAGTGAGGTGGGGTGTGATGCAGGGGTGGGGTGTAACACAGTGATGGTGGGGTGTGATGCAGGGGTGGGGTGGGGTGTGATGCAGGGGTGGGGTGGGGTGTGATGCAGGGGGGTGGGGTGGGGTGTAACACAGTGAGGGTGAGGTGTGATGCAGGGGTGGGGGTGTAACAGTGAGGGTGGGGTGTGATGCAGGGGTGGGGTGTAACACAGAGGGATGGAGTGTAACACACTACAGTTTTCTTATTTGGCTGATTTGGTTTTCCTCTACAAGTTAGCCATTCAAGTTAGAATTCTTACAAGACATAGGAGAAACGCTGTTATTTCTTGTAATATATGTAAAACAATTTCTCTTCTCTGTAGCCGACACCAGGCTCCTGGGTGGCTGGCATCAGTATGCCCAGCTTTAAGCATGGGGATGGCACACTGCCCTTCTCTGTCCGTGTCTCCCTCTTGCTGTTCGGCTTGGCTCCTCTTACACTTCTCACCCAAACCTTTAGTTTCTGCTCATCTCCCTTCCTCAGGAGTCCTCTGTTCTCTTTAATGTTCAGCCTTGGGCAACAGGCCCAAGGGATGCTGGGGGAGGTATGGGGGAGGTAGTCAGTCACCACCTGGCCATATCTGGAGTCCTTGCACTTCTGACCACAGGCCCTCCTGATAGGATGCATAAGTTGAACGAGGCTGGCTCATTGGAGATTGTTTCAGGTATAGGGCCCTATTTTTATTTGCTTTTTAAAGCCACAGAGAAAGAAAGCCTTCATTTCTTCTCTCTTGCACCTTCTGCAGAAGGAAGCCCCTGAGTTGTTAGTGAGTTTTAGACATGGTAGAAACTTGAGGATTTTGCTGTCGTGAGTGACACCCTCCGTTTAAAATGTCTACTTTTGTCTCGTCACAGCCCGATGATGATCATTACACAGAAGATCACTAGTCTGGCTTTCGAGATTCATGACGGTAAGAATCTGGAAGTTAATTCTTCATTACATAAACGAACCCTATTTTCATAATCTGTTGTTTGAGATACTACCCTAACTCTGAAAGGGAGGGAGGGAAAAAAAGGAAAGAGAGACAGTTTTAAAGATTATTAAAATGTGCTTTAACTCCAGCCCTGTGTATTCTCTTGATTTTTAATTCTGTTCAGAGATAAAAAGCAAAAATAGTCATACGGCCCATGTAACAGACCCTTGGTCTAAGTCAAGTTTTATTCTTAATTTTGTTTGTCTTACAGTATATTGAAATTGTATTCCCAGCACTGGGGAGGCAGAGGCAGGTGGATGGATCTCTGTGAATTTGAGGCCAGCCTGGTCTACAGAGTGAGTTCCAGGACAGGCTCCAAAGCTATAGAGAAACCCTGTCTCAAAAAAACAAAAAACAAACAAACAAAAAAAAGAAATTGTGTGCTGTTCCAACCCTATACCTTTGTGTTTCTACCCATATACACACATACACACACGTTTTCATAGACTTTTAGTATACACATGTACCTATTTTATATATTTAATAAGTGGTTATAGGAAATGCCAGCAATCAAGACTCCTCGGGTTGTTGACTTGCATTCCTCATAGGTAGGAGGGACAACTCTTCTCAGAGAGTTGTCTGTATGTGTCCCTGCATATGTGTCCCCTAATCCTGTGCCTCCCCCCCACCCAGCCCACTCCCCACATGTGGGCAGGAAACAGTTTTGATGGTTGGGTGGGCCAAAGAGGGGTTTTCCTCCTTTTCCCTTTTGCTACTGACAAGCAGTATTATCTACTTTATTATATGGGGTCAGGGACATAAGGGACAGCTGTGTGTTCAGCTACAGCTCTGCTTTCTGCCCTTCCGGAGGAGCAGAGCATCTTGTGCTTCTGGAGCCCCGCTCTCCTCATCTCGTGATTCTGCTTTGGGTTTCTCTTTTTCCTGTTCACACTGGAGGGCCTTTTTGTGCATTGCAGTTCATGGACGCATCTTGTGGTTCTTGCATTCTGAGCAGTGATGTGGGCAGAAATTCCCAGACCCTGGTTCTATGAGCATGGAGCACATACCGTGGATGTTGCAGATCCCAGCACCCAATTGTCCTTAGGGGCCCGAGACCCACATGTCACACTGACAGGTCCCACCCGGAATGAGAGCCTAGGAACATACTGGGTTGGGAATGTCATTCTGTCTGTATTGCTCTGGAAGCACCTGAAGGCAGAATATGCTAAGCTCAGAACTGAAAGTACTGCAGGGCCCTATTTTTATTATCTGGTCTTTGAAATCGATTTAACAGTCAGGTTTTGATCAGCCTGCCATGTTTCAAGAGTTCAGATCCTTTAGCTTTGATGTGACTCTTTCTGCAAATTGAAGCATTCCATCTTACCAGACACCTTCCTGCAGATCAGCTACTTCCACCATTTGCTGGCCCAGCTCTTCCCAACCGCTTGCTTCCTCAGTGGCTCTCACAAGAGAGGACATCCTTGTCTGTACTGAGAACTCTAAGTCCATGCCTAGCTGGGTCTCAGTATGCAGTGTCCACCTGGCTGGGGTTTGTTCTGAAGGAGATACTAAACAGTGAATGACAAATGTGCTTGTGAGGCCCAGGAAAAGCCATGAGCAGGCTTCCCAGAGTCTCCCTCGAGTGATCCCCAGCTCCAAGTGTGAGAACACCTGTGATGGATGTATCCTCTGCCAGGAAATTCATTAGACCTGGGACCCAGCATGCTTGCCAGAGGCTGCACAGGCAGACATCAGTGCCTAGTAGGTGTCAACGATGTAAATTCCTGATGGTGGAAAGGTGGATATTGAGAATAAACCATGTCGACACAGCCCCAGCCTAAGAACACTTGTCTCACTGTAGGCCTGTGCCTGTCAAGCTCCTGGCACCAGCAATGGGTCATGCTTTCAGGCAGGCTCTACTGAGGGCAGCAGCAGCAGGTCATATGAACTCTGGGCAGTGGGTTTGGACCTCTCTCCCATGGGTAACTTCTAGGTTAACTTCTAGGTTGGTGTTGAAACATCTTGCTCCCCTTACAGAATACAGCCTCCTCCCCTGCTGCTTTAGTTCTAAGTTATGTGCAAGACACTACTGAGGCATCATCACTGAAGCTGGCACAAGCTGGCAGTGGTTGGTCATGCCACTAATATGTTTCCTGTCAGGCAGCGGGGAGGTGTAGGTTTTGTTTGTTTGTTTGTTTTCTTTTCTTTTTCTGTGAGTTTTCAAGAAAGGGTTTCTCTAATACAGAGCAATATGCTTTGGAGCCTGCCTGGAACTAGCTCTGTAGACTAAGCTGGCCTCGAACTCAACAGAGATCTGCCTGCTGCTGCCTCCCAAGTGCTGGGCTTAAAGGCGTGTACCACCACTGCCTGGTTTGATTGTTTTGTTGCTAAGCCTAGCTGGGTTCTTGTACTTGATAAGGGAATATAAGAGTCTGATTTTTAGCTTACGCTGAACTGTATTAATTTGCCTCAGTGTTTGTCTTCTAGCTTAAAGCTAGCTTAAATTTCTGAGTACCCAAAGTTTGAACCGAGGTGGGAGGCTGGGCTTATATATAGCTAGACAAAATTTTTTATCTTTAAGTTATATATTTATTTTCCTTGGTTGGTTTGGAGTTTAAAACAATAATAGCCTCCTGGGTCAGCATAGCAGGCTACACTGGTACAGAAGCCCCACCCTGCACTAAACACTTTGAAATGCTGTGCATGGGGCTGGGGGTGGGTGACTCACTGTATCAAAGCATGGGGACCTGAGTTTAAATCCCTGGAGTCCACCAAAATCTTGGCATAGTGACATACACTTGTAACTCCAGCGATGGTGGGGCTGTAGATAGGAGGATCCTGGGGCTTTGGTGGATGACCACTTTAGCCAAAATAATCATGAGTTTACTTAGAGATCTAGTTTCCAAAAGAAAAGAGAAAGAAAGAAAGAAAAATACTATGGAGAGCAATGGGAGAGGACACTGGACATTGGACTCTGACTTGTCATGCATGACTGGGCATTCCTGCACACAAAAAAATACTGAATAAAACACAACAAAAAAGCCAGGCAGTGGTGGTGCTCACTTTTAATCCCAACCCGCAGGAGGCAGAGGCAGGTAGATCTCTGTGAGTTCAAGGCCAGTATGGTCTACAGAGTGAATGCCAGGGAGGCCAGGGCTACACAGAGAAACCCTGTCTTGAAAAAAAAAAAATCAAAAAACAAACAAACACAACAAAAAGTTTGTGTAGCAAAGCTTGGCAGCACAGGAAACTGCTAACCTGCTCTTTTAATCGGGGAGGGAGGGAGGGAGGGAGGGAAAGAAAGAAAGAAAGGAAGAAAGAAAGAAAGAAAGAAAGAAAGAAAGAAAGAAAAAAGGAAAGGTTTTCAAGAGAACACTGACCCTCATCTGCTTAGATAGCCCTAGATGGTCTGAAAACCCTAGATCTGTTGGAAAGTGTGGGTCTGTGTATAGTGGGGAATAGAGCAGTTGAAAGTGGACGGGCCCTCCAAGATTCCCATTGTGTTCTCCTTTTAAGTGGGATTTGTGGATTTAGTTTTGTTTTCTCCATATTGATTCCAAAAAGTAGGCACATGCCCCTTGAAGGAAACGTCAAAATATAAATAACTCTGAGGAGAAGGCAAAGAATCCCACCTCTGGCCAGGATCCCCTGGGAGTCAGAGCCACATTTCAGTCATCTTGGCTTCTGTCTTTTTCATAGGTCTGGGCACCACCCCCCCCCTTCTTTTTTAAACTAGATTTATTTATTTATTTATTTATTTATTTATTTATTTATTTATTTATTTATTTTGTGTGTGAATCTTTGGCCTGTATCAAGTGTGTACTGTGACTGTGGTGACCAGAAGAGGGTACCAGAAGTCTGGGATTGGGGTTAAAGGCAGTTGTGAGCCTCTGTGAGGGGTCCTCTACAAGGGCAGCCAGTACTGTTAACTGCCATGTCACCCCTTCAGCCCCATTTTTTGGTCTCCATTGTTTTCAAAGATAAATATGCAATTACACTCCCTTCCCTAATTATTGAGTGCATAAGTGACTTTTTTCTGTTAATACATGAGGTTGTGACAGTCCTGTCCTAATTTCAGATGCCATTGTTGATTATTTCCTTAGACTAGGGGTGTCTAGGATGAGAGGAGAGAAATGTCCCTCGAGTCTTTGATCTGTTGGTTTACAGAAACATAAGTGGTCTTCTCCCTACTAGACCGAGGGCCTTACAGCAGGAAGTCTGTCTCCTGCTTTTTCTAGTGCTGAGGTCCTCAGTGCCTTTCTCTCATGTCTGTACACGTGTTCTCCATCCTATCATGTGTGCGTTACATAATTGAGATCATGTTGTGTGAATGAGAGCTTTCAGGAGTTCTGTGTACTTCTGTGTAAAAGTGGTGGCTTGTTCTTGAGCTTGACATCTTTCTGCTTTGGTCTCCCGATAATTAATTAATTATGTTTTCATAATTAATCATGAAGTTAACAGTTTGTATGTTAATTGGTTGTCTGTGTTTCTTTTGTTGTTTGTTTTCCCTGGTTTTTATCTCTATTTATCTCAGCGTCTTTTAATGGCTTGAGTTTTACATCTTTGGGTCCTGTTACCATTTTGTTTTATTTTCTACAAAAGCTTTCCAAATGCATTGTTTGCTTCTTAATTTAGTCTCCCTCTGGCCTTTAAATTTCATCTGGTTTTTCTTTTCTTTCTTTTTTCCCTTTTCTATCTATCTATCATCTATCTGTCAATCCATCTATCATCTATCTATATCTACCTATTTATTGGTGTTTAAATTGTATTTAGTGTTCATTCGTCATTTTTTTTAAAGCATGTGGATCTATAAGTTGATACTTAGCTGTAGCAATAGCCTCCTAACTGAGACTAAAGACACACTAGACAGGCAAAGGCGATGCGTAAACTTTTGTTTTTATTCACTGGCACTTATGAGAACCAGTGTGCTATCACTGCTCTTTGTTGAGGTGCTGATCATCAAAATCCTTAAGGAGTTTTAATGCATCTTTCTGAAAAGCTATAACACTTTCTGTTAAGGATAAGGATAACAGATCCGAAGGTTAAAATGTATTCATTTGGGAGGTTTTTCTAATTGGATAATAATTTCCTTCAGACTAAGTAACTAGTAACTTTCATTTCCCCATATGTATTAAGTATGCACAGAGTAAGGTGGGTTGGATCACATGATAATTCAGATGTTACTTGATCTGTGTCAATATGTGACAGAAAGAGACAGTCATTGGGCTCAAACATGGGAGTATAGCATGGATTTCAAATGTGGCTAGTTCCATTCTAAAGAGAAAACAAAACTCACAGAAGTGTCTCTTTCTGATTCTCAGGGATGTTCCGGAAGGATGAAGAATTGACCCCGTCGCAGAGGGGATTAGCTGTGAGGTACGTGTCTTTGGATCTACTATGGATTGTACTATTTCACTGGCTTACAGAAAGCAACCTTCTTCCCTGTGCACTGCTGCAGGCCACCAGGTTGTGCTGTGCTAGGCTGGCGGTCTCTCCCGGACTCCCCCTAAGTCCATACCTGTGCCTCTGTACCATGTGTGCCTCCCATGAGCCATGTGAGGCCACTGGTGTCATCTCTGTGGGACTCTCAAAGACAGATGCTTGGTCTGCAGGTGTAGTGATTGCTGCTAATAATAGTAGCTGCCACTCACAGGGCAGCGGCCTGGTAGCAGTCACTGGGGCAGTATATTAACAGCACAAATGTGCAACACAGATGTTACTGATATTATTTGAGGAATTTATTCAGTCATCTTCTTTCTTTGTTCTGCTCCCAAGAGTGGAAGAGTGATTTAAGGAGTGGCTTGGTTTCCTGGCCAATTCATTTTCAATCTAACATGATTAAAGATGAAATATACTCCTTTTACCTTTAAAGAAAGCATTTCCTTTGTAGTAGCCTGTTTCTAAATACAGAATTAGAGAATGCATGGCTGCAAGAACAGTGGTCCTCAACCTGTGGGTTTCAACCCCTTTGGATCAATTTGTAATAATGAAAATACACCCTGCATATCAGATATTTACATTACAATTCATAGCAGTAGCAAAATTGCAGTTATGAAGTAGCAAAGATAAATGTTATGGTTGGGGGTGAGCACAACATGAGGAATGGTATTCGAGGGTCTCTGCATTAGGAAGGTTGAGAACCACTGCTCTAGAATAGGGGGATGATGTTCATGGCCGTGGACAGATGTGCGCCACTGTCCACCTCTTTGCCCCCTATAACACATCTGCACGCTTTCTCAGGGATTCCCTGTCTTCTCTATGATCAGTCTTCATACAGCAGCACAGAACCATTGACTACACTTACGTGACAAATAATTGGATTGGTTATTGACTTTTCCTTGGCCTTGATCTACCCCAGACACTGTCATATACAGACGGCAGCTCTGATTCTCCTGTCCCCCTCAGGCAACCGCCTGGCAAATGGCCAGTCCCAGTTAGCTTCAGCTTTGCACCTGATGAACAGTAGAAGGAAGCTAAGTAGAAAATACTTCTCTTGTTGGCTGGAATAATTTTGAATTTTTCACTCTATTTTTAAAATTGTGGTCCTTGGGGCAAAAGCAGTGACTCACAAGTTGCTGTTCTTGCAGAATACCAGGTTGGTTCCCAGCACCTACATGGTGGCTTGACACTAACTCTAACTCCAGTTCCAGGGGGTCTTACACCCTCTTCTGGTTTATTTGGGCACCAGGCACACATATATATGCATGTGGCAAAGTACCCATACATTAAATCCTTAAAAAAAAAAAAAATGGGGCTAGAAAGATGGCTTAGTGGTTAAGAGCACTGGTTGCTCTTCAGGAGGTCTTGAGTTCAATTTCCATCACGTACATGGTGGCTCACAGCCATCCATAATGAGATCTGGTGCCCTCTTCTAGCCTATAGACATGCATGCAGGCAGAACACTGTGTATATAATAAATAAATAAATCTTTAAAAAAAAAAACCACCATGGTCCATCATGGCCCTTCGTATTGACAACAAATCATTTGCTTAGTTCTCTCTCTGAGAAGATTTTAGATTTCTCTCTTCCCAGAACTGCAATACTCTCTCCCTCTTACTCATGTTAGAAAGCTAAATTTCATTTCTTTTTTCTTTGTAGTAGAAAGTTCTTTATTAAGATGTCTTCCCCTTTCCCATCCACACAGCCCATGGGCTGCTAGGTACTCACCTCTGACCTTAATCAAGTTCTTTTTTTTTTTTCCTCTTGGTGGGTCATCATCAGCTTTGCAGGACAACTGTTGTATTGTCATGCTTTCCCTTCTAGCCACCACCTTCCTGCCACTCCTCTTTGTCACAGTACCTCTGTTGCTGGTGTTACTTTCCCTCCAGGTCCCAAGGCCGCTTCAGCCCCAAATAAGAGACATATTAATCATTAAACTGTTGGCCGATGGCTAGGGCTTCTTATAGGCTAGTTCTGTCTTAATTATTAACCCACTTCTATTAATCTATGTATTTCCATGTTGTCTTGGCTTACCGGAGAATGCCCAGGCTTGTTACTCCTTTGTGGTCTACATGGTGTCTCCTCCAGGTCTCTCTCTGTCTACCTCTCCCAGAATTCTCCTAGTCCTGCCTATCTCCCTGCCTCTATTGGCCAAACAGTGTTTTATTCATCAACCAATAAGAGAAACATATGTACAGAAGGACATCCCCCCATCTCTTCATCTTCCATTCTCCCCTGCCCACTATGGTCAGACATGTTTCTTTTCTTTCTTGGTTGCCCTTAGTCTTCAGCCTTGTTGCCATGGTGATCAAGCACAGCAGCATCACTGGTCCAGCTGACTGCTCTTCACAGGATTCCTGGGCACCATGTTCTCTTGCCCTCCTGCTCAGCCATGTGCCCCTCCCCTGTCTGACTGACTGTTGCTGTACCCCAGAACTGAGACCTGAACTTCTTAGCTGTCCCCAGGTGCTTCCATGTGGTCTGGGGGCTTGAAGCCACTCAGTCCTCTCCCTCGTCTCCAGCCTCCGGTGCCCACTGCCATTTCAGGGTCCTCACTTGGATAGCAGTAGGTCTATTCCAAATACTGGTCCTGATTTCTGTCCACTGCTGCCACTTGCTGGCTGATAGCATCATTTGCTATTGGGGGCTGATGGGGAACATAAGCAGGTTTCATTTTCTTACTGCAAGTCCACTAGAAAGTTTAGTAAACTTTCAGTCATCACCACTGTGCCATCCTGCTCCTCTAAGATCTAGGAGGCTGCCTGCCAGAGTGCACTTGATGCTCTCTGTAGCAGATTTTTCGGGTTGAGTCCATTGATGCCCCCCCCATCCCTATGTGTATTTGTGTGTGTGTGTGTGTGTGTGTGTGTGTGTGTGCACATGCAAATACATAAGCCAGAACAGAACATCAGTGTCTTCTTTTGCTTTCCACCATAGTTTTTTTTTTGGGGGGGGGAGTTTCCAAGACAGAGTTTCTATGTGTACCACTGGCTGTCCAGAAACTCACTCTGTAGACCAGACTGGCCTCGAACTCAGAGATCCACAGCCTCTGCCCAAGTGCTAGGAGTAAAGGCATGCACCACCACTATCCAGCTCCACCTTGTTTTTGAAACAGGGTCTGTCATTGTACCTGGCTGTTCTGGCTGGCCAGTAAGCTGTTAGGATCCTCGTCTGTGCTTCGGTCCTTCCCTGCTCCCTCCTCCCCAGTACTGTCTAGGATACAGGAATGGGCTCCATCCTTTCCTACCCCTCCCTCCCATACCATCTAGGGTACAGGACTGGGTTCCAATGTCCCTCACACAATACTGTTTACAGTACAGGAGTGGGCTCCATCCTTCCTTGCCTCCACCCCATCAATACTGTCTGGGGTACAGGAATGGACTCATTTCACTTACTGAAGAATCAAATGCAGGCAAAGTTTGAAAGGCAAGCAAAGACCAAGTTTACTCAAAGAGGATGATTTTATTAGAGTCTAAGAGAGAAACTCCAATGCAGGCAGCTGTCAGTCTTGGTAGCTGGGGGTAGGGGTTGGGGCAGCAGTGCCATTTGAGTTAAGTGGCCATGTGAGGGGAACTTCAGAAAGAGTCAGGACCAGAAAAGTCATCCTGAGGTTCTGGCCAGCCTCTGAAGAAGGGCAGGGAGGGAAAGTTGAACTTCCATCAGAAAGCTGGATAGACACAGTAGAACCTTACAGTGGCTCGGGACAGGAATTCTGGGAAGGAGATATGTGGTATTTAATTAAAGGGCTAATTATTCTGCCTGTCCCTTTAGTGTGGCCTAAGGTGAGCCTGCCTTCCTAGCGTGGTGCCTTGTTCAGGTGATTGACTAGCCTAACTGGCTAACTCTTTGATGGTTTTGGTAGCTGGAATGTTAGGTCTCTGCCCAGGCCAGAGATTACATCCTGTTGACCAGAAAGAACCGGTTTTCCCTTTATGGGTCTTTACTGTTACTGTGTCGTTGCCCCCTCTAAAGAGGTAACCTTGGAATCATTTGGATGATGGATTAAAGATGAGGCACTGATAACCCATTTCACTATGGGAGACAAGAGCTGCTGCTCCAGTGCTGACCAGAGGGATCATTTATCATCTGGCCTGGTGTTCTAGTCCCCACAATAGCATACAGTTCTGGGCAGGTTTATTGGCTTCTAAGGAGGCAAGAAGCCAGGGCTTCCTTCCGGCATTCTTGGCCAGAGACTGAAGGACCTTTGTAGAACATCTGCTCTTGAGTCGCTGCCCTGAGCTGCCTGTCCAGTGTCTAGTGCCTGTTTTCATTGCACACCAATGTCATAGGTGCCCATGGCCATGCCCAGCTTTGAATGTAGGTGTTGGAGACTTGAACATGGCTTCTCTTGCTTCACACAGAGTACTTTTACTCACTGAGTGGCCTTTCCGTCTCCAGAGATGCTTTGAGTAGGCTTTGGGTTGTTTTAGTATTTTTCTTAACCTCTACCGATTTATACATAAAATAAAGAAAGAAAGAAAGGAAGAAAGAAAGAAAGAAAGGAAGGAAGAAAGAAACTGTAACTTCTGACCACAGCATCCTTCTCTGAAACAGCCTGGAGCTCCACACTATTGCCTTAATTTACCCACTCCTCATCTTGTTCTGGGATGGGAGAACCACGTCAGGTTGACTTCAGACTTGCCAACCTCCGGGACCCTCCCAAGATAGATAGGTGTGTGCCACCCAGCCACTCCCTCTTCAACTTTAACTACCCATCTCAAACTCTAGCCCTCTGCCCTGCCCTGCTTTCTTCATAATGTGTACTGTTTGCTTTCCTCAGTCCTTTCCCAACCCAGGCACAATGTCCTAAGGTTGAGAGCTTTGTCTGCTTATCACTACGTTCTGTCTCCTAAGCAGCCAATGATGCTTGCCCCAGGAGACATTTGTGCATATCTGGAGACACATCTGATTGTCGGAGCCCTGAAGGGTTGACTGCTAGTAGGTAAAGGGCAGCACAGAAGTACTGACCCTCAGTCGGGGGAGGCTAAGCAAATCCCGCTGACCTAGATAACACACAGGTGATGTCAGTGGGTTGAACAAATCAGCAAGTCTTTTATGTGGGGAGGGAAAGAAATAGTGGGCTTAGGTATTATAGTGACTTACTCCATCCACCACCTCACATGGTTTGTTTGACAGTTGAACCAAAACTCTCCAGTAAATTATGTGACTGAGAGGAATCTGCTTGTGACCCCAGCACTTAGGAGCTGGAGACAGGGACCACAAGGCTGAGGTGTTCCTCTAGGCCAGCAGTTTACACCTGTGATCCCAGCCTCTAGGAGCCTGAAGGAAAGGGGCTGTTATAAGTTCCAGGCCAACCAGAACCACAGAGGGCTACGTAGCAAGACTGTCTCAAACTGGGTTCAACTCCACACAATGGTGGCTCACAACTGCCTATAACTCCAGTTCCAAAGGATTTGATGCTCTCTTCTTGCTCCCTGTGGCTCATGCATGCTTGTGGTCTACATGAATTCATTAGAGGTGCGTGCGCGCGCACACACACACACACACACACACACACACACACACGATAAATAAATATTTTCTAAAGCCACACTAAAACACAGCCCACAAACACCACTACCTCAACAAAAGAAAGAAAAAGGTATACTGGAAAAAATAGATGGAGTTTGTGATGGAGAACTGTTTTCAGACATCCTTGTTCTCTGTTTCTCAGCTCCCACAACTAATCCTTCAACTGACCCCCCCCCCAGGTGCTGCTCCCAGCGTGCCATCGGCTACAGTCCCCTGCCTGGTCTTCATTCGTCCACTATGCCCACACACTGGGCCACAGTGGCACTTTTAAAACATGGCCTTTAGAACCTGCCTGTAATTTTTCATCTCGTCCTCTGTGGCTTGGAAGGCAGGCCCTGTGTGACCTTACCTCAATTAGCGTTCTTTCCTCTGTGTCTTCTTCGTCATGATGTCAGCGGCGCTATCACCGAGTGTACATCACCTGTGCCCTCCTTGCTCCTGCCCCTAGATTCTTCATTGCCAGGGTTTGTACAGCTCTCACTTCTGTTCAGCCTCTGCCCAAATGGGATTCACCAAAGAGGCTTCTCTGACTTCTTTATGTAAATAGACCCCTTTCTCATTGTGGCATTTAGCATCTCTGAAGATTACATATATTATTATAAGGTTACATTTCTGCATATAAATGATATCAGTGCACACATGTCATATGTATATATGACGTCTGTATATATGACATCTGTGTTGTACAATGGGAGGATAAGCTCTGTGCATGCCGGATTTTGTTTGCTGACTACACTGTCTGCAGACCCTGGAGCCTGTTGTCCACATGATGGGCACATGGCATGCATTTGTTGAATGAGCAGGCAAGTAAGAAGTGAGCGACGATTCCTCGTGCCCCATTGTGGTCATCTTAGGTCATTAGGAGAAACCTAAGTGAAAACCCTCTGTAGTTGCTGCTAAAGAGCTGTATGAAAACCCCTACTGTTCTATTTCATTTCTATAAGATACTTTAATAAAAAGTAACTTAGGGGAGAGAGGGGGTTTATTTGGCTTACAATTCCAGAATGTAGTCTGTCTTAGTTAAGATTTCTATTACTGTGATAAAAATACCATGATCAAAGCAATTTGGGGAGGAAAGGATTTGTTTTAGCTCCATCCCCATGGGAAGCCAGGACAGGAACACAAGGAAAGGGAGGCAGAGCTGATTTAGAGGCCATGGAGAAGTGCGCTTACTGACTTGCTCCTCATGGCTTGCTCAGTCTGCTTACACACCCAGGACCAGAAGCCCAGGGGTAGCACTGCCCATATCAATCACTAAGAAAATGCCCCGCTGGATTGTCAACAGACCAATGTCAAGGAAGAATATTCTCAACTGTGGTTCTCTCTTCTCAGGTAACTCTAGCTTGTGTCACATTGGCAAAAGAAAAACCAGGACACAGGTCACTATAGCAGAGGAGTCACAGTGGCAGGGGCTCAAACAGTTGTCATGTCACCTCACAGTAAAGGGCAGGGGAAAAATCAGTGCAGCGACACTCGCTTGGCTAGCTTCCTCCTAGGCTGCATCATTCAGGACTCACTTTCTAGGGAACAGTGCTACCCATGATGGCCTGGGTCTCTGCATGTAAACTAACAGCCAAGATGATTCCCCCCAGGCCCACCTGATCTACAAAACTCTTCCTGAAGACTCTTCCCAGGTGAGAAGGCTGTGTCAAGTTGAGAGTTTAAAATTAAGTAATGTATCTATTCAAACACAGATATGTTGAGAATCACTCTGTTCCACCTCCCCGGATTCTTACATAGATGCTCATGAAAACTGAGGTGTGTTTTGTTTTGGGAATGGTAACAGTAGTGAGCACACGGCTGCCGGTTTCTGTGGCTTGTCCCTGAAAGTGTCTCTCGCACCTTACTAGCATGTCCTCTCATTACAGACGCATGCCGAGTCTCCTGGAGTATGTAAGTTATACCTGCAACTTCATGGGTATCCTGGCAGGTCCTCTCTGCTCTTACAAAGACTACATTACTTTCATTGAAGGCAGGCCATCCCACATGTCACCGTCAAGTGAGAATGGAAAGGAAGAGGCACAGCATGAAAGAGCAGATCCATCTCCAAACGTAAGGGCATGAGGCTCGTCTGGAGCTGTGGCTCTATAGCTTGTCTCTCTGGCTTTCTGGAAAAGTCTAATGCTTTCACTTGTTGTAATTCCCCCATTGATTTCTCTCTTTTTCGCTTCCTGGGTGTGTATGTGTGTGCAAGAGTGCATGTGCATGCATGCATGTGTGCATATGTGTGTGCACATGTGTGTATGTATGTATGTGTATGTGTTCATGAGTGTGCATGTGGTGTGATTTTAGGGATTAAACCCAGAGCATTGTCAGGGCCTGTGTTGCTAATGTATTAAGGCAAATAATTCTACCACTGAATTGCATCTCTGTCCTCCATTCCCAATTTTTGTTTTCATTTTTTTAAAAAAATGCTTATGTGTCTGAGTGTGTGTAGGGAGAACCATGGTGATCAGAAAAAAAGGTATAGGATCCCCTGGAGTTGAAGTTACAGGCAGTGTGAGCTGTCTGAAGTGGGTTCTGGGAACCAGACTCTAGTCCTCTCGTAACTGCACAGCACCTGTCCAGCCCTCTTGTCCTGAAGCTGACAGTGACCTTACTCTGAAGCCTGGCCTTGAACTTACAATTTTCCCATTTCAAACCTCCCCAGGTAGCTAAAATTACATGTCTGCACCACCTGCCTGGCTTTCATCTATTTCTTTAAAAGTATCTTTCAGGAAAACCAATTCTTTATACTCTACTAGTTGTGCTGTCTAGTAGAGGCAAAGTCATGATTAAAGAACAAATGTAAGTCACTGTGTAAGGGGCTGAAGAGATGGCTCAGTGGTTTAGTGCACTTGTTGCTGTTGCAGAAGACCCAGGTTTGATGCCCAGCACCAATGTGGCAGCTCACAATAATGCATAACTCCAGTTAAGGTATCTGCTCTCTTCTGACCTCTGTGAGCACGAGGCACACACAGTGCACCTGCAAGCATACAGGTGAAACGATTCATACACATAAAACAAATATAAAAAGAAAGAAAACCAATCCTTAGTGAAAGCAATGCTATCCAGTGGTGGGTCTTACATGGCAGCCCCTCATGGGTCACCACTGGAAACACTGAAGGCTCCTTTTCCACTCACGTTCTCCCCTCCTAATGATGATAGTCAAGTCTTACTCATGGGGCCGGGGAGATGGCTTAGTGGCTAAAGCACTCACAAGTGTGAGGGACCATAGTTTGGATCTCCAGAACCCATGTAGTGGTAGTGTGTCACACTTGCCTGTAATTCTGTCTCTGGAAGGCAGACATAGGATCCCCAGAGCAAGCTGACCAGCACGACTAGTCATATCAGGGAGCCCTGGATCTGATTGACAGACCCTTCTTTGGTGATGGAAGTTAATGAGGGTGAAATGCCCCGGGCAAGGCGCCTCCTGATTTTTTATCAACAGCCTCAGGGTTTGTTGCTGCATTGCCAGGATATATCTGGTGGCGGTGTGTGAAATGTGCAAACAGAGTCCTGTGAGGTTTGTGACTCTCATCTACCTGTTCCAGGCAGCAGTCACGGAGAAGCTCCTCGTCTGTGGACTCTCTTTGTTGTTTCATTTGACCATCTCCAATATGCTACCCGTGGAGTACAACATTGATGAGCATTTCCAAGCCACTGCCTCATGGCCAGCCAAAGCCAGCTATCTGTATGTCTCTCTTCTGGCTGCCAGACCTAAGTACTATTTTGCATGGACCTTAGGTAAGTAGCATGTAGACTTGTTTCTATGCTGAAGTGTATCTTGATTTCAGGCAGTGGCCTGGGGTTTTTGTTTTGTTTTGTTTTGTTTTTCTGTGACTGTGTTGTATTGTACCTGCTGGCCTCAAACTGCTGAGTGCAAGCAATCCCCCTGTTTCAGCCTTGCTAGTAGCTGAACTGCAAGCACCTCACTGCATCCAGCTCAAGAGCGCCCTCTTGAGTATATACAGTTGAAGAACAAGTAGAACAAGTCATTTTGCCTAAGAAACAAACTCCTGAAGTTCATGAGCAAGGCCCATTTTATTATAAGGTAAAAGTCAGTGAATAGGTGAGGTGACAGCAGGTACTTATCTTAATGCCTGTTGTGTGCTAGGTTCTATGAGCTTGATTGGATACTAACATGAATGGGGTAGTCCCTGTCTCCAGGGTACCTGTAGTTTAGTAGGATTTTTAATACATTTGTTATGACACCATTAGATATGGTTTATTATGATCAGAACTGCACTGGTAAAGTGTGAAAAATCACATCAGTTCACGAAAGTGTCCATGACACCTGACAGGTGGACCATAATAAAGAGTTTTGTGCCTTTAAGGCTGAAGAGGTGTGTACACGTGCCTGGACCTTGACTGGCGTGTTGGGGACCGAATGGAAAAGATGGGTCTGGGGAGGAGAGAACCCTCTCTCAAGCCTTCTGCTGTATGGCTGCACAAGCCTTGGGAGGCTCCAGATGATGGTGTCATGAACTGCCAGTATTCAACATTTTCATGTTATCGCCACATAAATCGTCTTGAGTGTAGCAGTGAACTCCCGATGTTCCTGCCCACAAACAAACAAATGGAATAAGGTGGATTTTAGCCATTGGATTATTAAACCACTAGCTGCAGGAATATGGGTTTTCTGTACGCATTTGGATTTGTTGGCAGCCTTGTGTGGTGGGAGTGGGGCTCTCTCTATGTTCTTATCAGACGTTATCTTTGATCCTATAATAAGCCTGCATGATACCATATTGGTAGGCTCACCATGAAGGCACAGCTGTACCCTTCTTAAACCTGACAGAAGGGTAAATCTTGATTGCTCACTGTCTCACCAAATTATTTATTTATATATATATATATATATATATATATATATATATATATTTTTTTTTTGTTTAATCAAATGAGAAATAAGGAATAAACAATTTGAGGGTAGGATCCATGTCTATAAAGGTGTGTTGTTTTGCTGCATTTTGATGGGTTTCCGCTAGTTTGGTCAAGACACAGATGGTATGAATTAGGTACACTTCCAGTTGGTTGGGAAGGACTTACTTGGGGCAGAAACTTCATATCTTGAGCAGGTTTGTAAGCAAAGATGCTGATGGCACACCATGGTGAACGGGTTGAAAAGCAGGTTCTGCAGACAGAGTGGGTTGTGGTGAGCCAAGAAGGAAAGAAACGAAAACATTAGCCCCCCCCCCCCCCACATGTTTCTATCTATAATAAAGGCCAACATGAACGCACTGAGCTCAGGGCAGAAGATTCCCAGCAGTGCCTTCCAGATGGCTGAGCATTCTCCACCGTATTATAATGTGTACCCCAGACTTTTTAATCTCACCTGTCTCCTCTTACTTCACATCTGGTGTTTTGTTAGCTAACCAGCTGCCTTTAACAGGGTCATTATTTTCACTGTGTGTGATTTTTCTAACCTCTCTTAAAAATTAGAATTAACCAGGGCTGGACAGACGATGACTCAGTTAAGGATGCTTGTTGCTGTGGCGAGTGCCTTTAATCCCAGCACTTGGGGTAATCCCAGCACTTGGGAGGGAGATGCAGGTGGATCTCTGTGAGTTCAAAGCCAGCCTGGTCTGCAGAACAAGTTCCAGAATAGCAGGGCAATATAAAGACCTTGTCTCAAAAATTACAACAGCAACAACAACAAAAACAAACCGTTTGTTGCTCTTCCAAATGACCTGAGGAGTTTGGTAGATTATAACTACCTGTAACTCCAGCTCCAGGGGATCCAGAATCCTCTCCTGACCTCCATGGTCACCTGCATACATGTAACATGTACAAAGAGAGAAATATACACACATGCACATTTTTAAAATTAGAGTAAGTCATGGACTACGGTTGCAGCTCACCAGCAAAGGGCTTGCCTAGAAGGTTCAAGGCACAAGGTTCAATCTCTCAGATACAAGTAAATAAAAAGTCTCCTTTTACTGTTTAAGAGTAAATCATAGTACAAACCTTCTGGAAAAATAGAGTAGATATTTTGAAGGGTGGGAGGCGATGGCTCAGCATTTAAGAGCATTTGTTGCTCTTGCAGAGGAGCCGTTTCAGTTTCCAGCACCAACATGGTGGCTGACAAACATCTGCAACTCCAGTTCCAAGGGATCTAACACCTTCTTTTGACCCCTGAGGGCACCACGAATGTACACAGTACATAAAACATGCATGCAGGTAAAACACCATCTTTAAAAAACAAAACAAGGGGCTGGAGAGTTGGCTCAGAGGTTAAGAGCACTGCCACTCTTCCAGAGGTCCTGAGTTCAATTCCCAGCAACCTCATGGTGACTCACAACCATCTATAATTAGATGTGGTGCCCTCCTCTGGCCTGTAGGGTTGGTTACACTATATATATATATATATATATATATATATATATATATATATATATAAAATAAGTAAATAAGTAAGTCTTTAAAACAAGACAAAACAAATATGTGTATATATACATATATAGTGCATACATTGTAATATTTCTGATATGTGTGTATATATGTATAGATTGTAATGATATTTCTAATACTTTACTTTGTGACAGCTGATGCCATTAACAATGCTGCAGGCTTCGGTTTCAGAGGATATGACAGGAATGGAGTGGCTCGTTGGGACTTAATTTCCAATTTGAGAATCCAGCAAATAGAGGTTAGTAAATGATTAAGATGTTAATCATGTGACAATTTTAACACCACAGTTTGCTTTCACAGTTATGGCGAGCTGTCTTTAGAGTGGTGCTAATGGGTGTTGACCACAGTAAGACTCAGACCTTTGGGGGTTTTTTGTAATAGAATAAAGAGTTTCTTTGGGCTTATAGAAGGTGAGAGTCAGATGCTGAGATCTTGCATCGTGAACTGCAAGCATAAAGCAGGGGTGATCTAGAGATGGCATGAGTCTTTAACCTGTTTGAGTCCACCTCTGATGACACACCTCCTCTAACAAGGCACACCTCCTAACCTCCCAAGACACACACACCTCCTAACCCTCCCAGCAGCACCATCAACTGGGGATTGAGTGTTGACATACGTGAGACTATGAAGGGGACATGTTTCACACATGGATTGATGTTTATTTTTATACGAAGATTCATGGATGGTCAAGGTGCTGTGAGTCAATGACTGTTGAGTGTTTGGCATAACACTGGATGCTCACACCACCCCCTTTCAGGGCTCGTAGAGGAGGGGGTGGAAAAAATCAAAACCAAATGACAGGGAGGAGGGCTGTGGAACAACATCCCGACCATCACCCCATATTTACTGGTGGTAGACTACCCCCTGGTGCGCGAATATGGCTGGTGACTTAAGGGACCTCAGGAAGCTGTAGAAAGTGCTGCAAGTAGGTTTTGACCTGGAAAGTACAGACATACAGTGTTTGTAAATCTGCAGTCTGGTGTCTTAGGGAAAGTGAAGTGGGAGGTGACTAGGTGAGGCCTGGAGGAAGAGCATCCTATGAGGCTGGAAAGGGCAAGCCATTCCCAGGGCTGCAGGACAAGGTGCTGTGGCGAGGCCAGAGAAGCAGAAGCCACATCAAACAGCCTCAGAAGCTGCCAGCACCTACAGGGCCACTCACAACTGGTTCTGGGGATCTGGTGCCCTCTTCTGACTTCTAGAAGCACCACATGCACAGACTGCATAGACACACTCAGTGAAAAACTCATAAAATAAAATAAGTAGGGAGGGGAGAGGAAGTGGTGGTTGCTGAAGTAAGGTAATGAACGGGTTGAGATTTACAACCCTTGACCCTTTGGCGCCACTCTGAGGAACCTTCCAACCCCCCCCCCCCAATGGAGAGACTGTTATTTATCCACATTTTTATGGTTATCCATAAAAAGGGTAGGGTTTGTCCACACCCCAAAAACCGGAGTTCTTCCTCCTGGGAACATGTAGCATCACCTTGGGAATGAGGAAGAGAGCATTGGTTCCCTGGAGGAGGACACAGTGACCACTGCTAAATGCCCCAGATGTCAATGAGATAGGGGCCCAGGAACAACCGTACCGTTACGATTTAACAGTTCTGCAGGGAGGGGGAAACAAAAGGTGACACAGATCTGTGGAGGCCTGTAGCCAGGGCGTGGGGGGGTGGAGGGGTGGGGGGTGGAGGGGGGTAGGGAGTGCTGAGGAGGCATTTGTTTAATTTTATCTTAAAACGTAAAGATTAGGGGGCTGGAGAGATGGCTCGGTGGTTAAAAGAACTCACTGCTCTTGGGAGGACGAGTTCAATTCCTAGCACCCATGTGAGGCAGCTCACATCCACCTGTAACTTTTATGGATCTGAAACTCTTCTCAGGCCCCTGTGGGCACCTGCACACACATGTAGATATGCAGAGGTGCGTGCGTGTGTGAGTGCATGTGCGTGCACACACACACACACATACACACACAAACATTGCATTGTAATAACTGTTTTCAAGATGGCAACAGCTGCCAGTGGATATATTGGGGACCTAATTACAGTTGAGAACCATGTCTGTATGAGATGTCTGGAATGTCACAATCATCATCAAGATGCTGCTATTGGGGATGATGGCAGCCTGTCAATCAGAGATCAGGGTTTTGATATGTAGATGGGTAGGTAGGGAAGCTAGACAAGGTCATCAATGACCTTGATGTGATAAATAGAGTGTGGAATCTAATGTGCCAGAAGGAGCTAGAGATGTAGCTGCTCACAACGATTGGCTGTGCACTGACCATGTGTGGTAGCCCTTGGTTTGATCCCCACCATCACCGTAACTGAATAAGAGGAAGGAAGATAGTTACATAGAATGACATCAGACAAGCTGCAGCCCAGATATAGACATACACATCCAGGAAGTGCTAAATGTAATAATATTAGCTTGACCACAGAGGCTTCCCAGTCTGAGAGGTTCACAGCCCATTGCTGTCTGGAGACAGTGTGGAGCTGGGGGAGCTTCAAGATCTAGAGTAGCCAATGGGGCCTGAGAAACAGTTCTGGGTGGCTGTGACTGTGGACAGCCTTTACCTGGAAAGAGACAGAATGGAGGATAGGGAAGGTGAGGCAGTACTATCCAGGACACAGGGGCGAGCAGATCACTGTGTGAGTGGACTTCTGTGTGTGATGACCTGGGAGAACATGGCAATGTCCTTCTGATAGATGATGCTCCGTGGAAGATGCTTCTGTATTAGAAAAGTATTGAGGAAGGAATCGGTGCTGGGTCATCATTACCCACTGACTTTTGGTTTTAATTTCTTAGCATGCTGAAGCATTATTATGTAGACGTAAAGCTCATATTTTACTGGCCAAAAAAATGATCCCTTTGTTTTTCAGATGTCAACAAGTTTTAAGATGTTTCTTGATAACTGGAATATCCAGACAGCTCTTTGGCTCAAAAGGTATGTTCTTTCAAGAGTCACCCTTGGGCAGGCTCTGGCATCAGCATTGGGCCTCAGCTTGCTGAGGTGACGTTCTTCATTGTCAGTGTGTTGGATGCCATCATGGTCTTGATTTTACCCAAGTTATACCATTAGCGTCCACTGAAGTAAGGCTTGGAATTGAGTCACAAACATCCCTATGTTGGTGTCACCTCCTTCTGGTTCAGGTCTGCTGATGTCTGGGTAGGCAATTAAATAAATGCATACAGGGCAGAGGTAGTGTACACCTTTAATCCCAGCACTAGGGAGGCAGAGGCAGGAGGCAGGCAGATCTGTGAGTTCGAGACCAGCCTGGTCTACAGAGCTAGTTCCAGGACAGCCAAGGCTGCATAGAAAAAACTTACCTTAAAAAAACCAAACCAGACAAAAACACAACAAAACAGCCAACCTCTGGAACTGACTCAACTGCTCTTTATATGTTGGACGTGAGACATACATGTAGGACCAAAAGACCCATTGTTAGTACTCAGGCATCTGTACTGGCCTGCCCTTGGGGTTCTGACAGGACACACCCTCAGCTGGAGCCACTAAGAGCACCCCCCTGTGCACATTCACTACATCCCCTTTATTTTATTTTACTACATTCCCTTTTAAAAGGGTCCTGCCTACCTCCCATTTTTCTCTCTTTCTGCTTCTCTGCCCCCTCCTCTCCCTTTCTTTTCTCTCCTGCTTCCCCAGTCCCCAGAGGCCAGTCTCTCCTCCCTCCTTTTCCCATTCACTTTCCCTCAGTAAAAATACCTCCACCCAAGCTGTATTGCATGGCATCTTTCTCTCAGGAGCTGCTTTTAAAATTACAATACCCAGTCCCCACTCCTTAGTAAGAACTCACAATACCCTTAACATTATAGCTGGAGGCTACAGAAATGGCTCAGCAGTTAAGAGCATTTGCTGCTCATGTAGTGTTCAACTGTCACCACAAGGTGGTTCATAACAATCAGTAACACCAGTTCCAGAGGACTGATGCCCTTTTCTAACCTTGACAGGCACCAGGCATGCATGTCATACACATGCATGCATGTGGGCTGGACATCCATACACACAAAATAAAGTAACTTGAAAAGCAACAACAAAATCTTACAGCTGTTCCCTGGAGTGCAGATTCCAAAGGAGAGCAAGACTGGCAAGAGCACTGAGAACTGAAAGTCAGATGTGTCTCAGGATGTGAGGTTGGGTGGAATAGCACACACCAGAGATAGGTAGTGGGAGCAGAAGTCACAGAGCAGTGACAATCGAATGTACCCCTTGAGACATTAAAAACATATGTTGTCGTCATTGCGTCCCAGCTAGCCTTCTCAATGGTTCTGTCTGAAAAAACTCATACTGAATCCTATCCTCTGCTTTAGGAAAATGAGACTGGTATATAGACTCCCAAATACCAGAAGTGACCATGTTAGTAATTTTACATACCCGTGAAAAGATAAGGACAAAGCTTATGCTTGTAAGGTGACACTAAGTGACCCAGCTAGGCCCAGGAGAAGTGCTGTTTGCTTTCCTGGCTCCCCTAACTCTGTGAGGTCAGAGAAGGACCCTGTGGGCTTTGTGGCCTCAGTCTGTTACTCCTCTTTCCATGGTTTTTAGGGTGTGTTATGAACGAGCGACCTTTAGTCCAACAACCCAGACGTTCTTTCTCTCTGCCATTTGGCATGGGGTCTACCCAGGATACTATCTGACGTTTCTAACAGGCGTGCTAATGACATTAGCAGCTCGTGCTGTAAGTATTGGCATTTATATTTTATAATTCATTGAGTGAATCTCTGTTCTTTGGCTGTGATTAGCATCATCTTCCCAGGAGAAGTTAGGTATCTAATTGTGCTTGGAAGCTAATGCTCACCCCATGCAAGCCTCGACACTAACTGTACACCAGGAGAAGCCACACACCTGGCATGTGGGAAGTGCTTAAAACATCTCATGACATTTGTGAATGAGAGAAAGTAAAGATGGTTAGAATGGGTAGGTCAGAGCTTGGTGGTGGTGCATGCCTTTAATCCCATCACTAGGGAGGCAGAGTCAGGCAGATCTCTGTGAGTTCCAGGCCGTCTAGTCTACAGAGTAAGTTCCAGAGTAACTAAGGCTGTTAAACAGTGAAACCCTGTATCAAAAACAAAACAAAACAAAACAAAACAAAAAAAACAACAAACAAATCTAAAACAAAGCAAAAACCAACAAGACAAAAAGAATGGGTAGGTCTGTTCTTCAAAAAACATTTCTGGGGGAAAAATGGTCTGTTTTTAGAAACTTTCTTAGAAACTTGAAAGGGGGGAGATACTGAAATTTTATTCAAGTAATCAAATAATTTTTTGCAACAGATAAAAAAAAGCAAACAAAAATTTCTGTTTACTATGGATGTAACCCTTGAATCCTCTTTTAATTCAAAGTAGAGTTTGACCACTCCTAGGGAAGGGGATGGCCAGTTCCCAGTGGAAGATGCTGTGGATGTGGCACCATCCAGTAGAGTATTTATTTGCTGGGGGGAACCTGGAAAGGTTTGGGGGAAGCAATTAAGACAGCTTCATACTATGAGAGAGAAAAGGAGAATAAATTGGTGTATTGAAATTCAACTAGTGGGAGCAATGTGTCAAAAAGTATGCTTTAGCAAACATTATAGAGCCTTATGGGTAAAGTAGCTTCATCTAACACTGTAGCAGATACTCCTTTTGATGTACCCAAGAGATTAGCAAGAAAGAGTAACACAGGCTGTAGCTCCTGGTAGTCAGTACCAGCTGGAGTGCAGTGGGGAAAAGATTGCATGCCTTAGTGTATTTGGGAAATGGCGGAGAAATGTAAATTAAAGCAGTGAGTTTGTGTGCATGTGAGGAGTGGATAGTTCCAGGATAGGCAGATGGAAGAAAGGAAGCAGGGCGGTGAAGTCTCAACACTAGCCCAGAAGCTTGGTCCTATTCTGTCCCTATCATCAGAGAGTTGGCAGGTGAGGCTTCTGTCTTGTTTTCTTGGGGTGCTGAAGAGTGCACCCAGGGCCTCGAAATATAGATGAGCACCGTAGCACTGAGCTACCTCCCCAGACAGCTAAGGTTTTGCATCTTGGGGTGGCATGGTGCCGTCGTGCTGGAGGAAACGGGCTTGTTGGTAATAGACAACTCAAGCAGCAGGGTGAGAATACTACTCTACAGGCTTGAAGTAGTTGTGGTCACCACTGTGTTTTATATATAATGCTGATCTAAAAATGTAGTGAATCTTTTTTTGTGTCTTTATTTCTTTTCAGGTGAGAAGTAACTTTAGACACTACTTCATTGAACCCCCCTCAACTTAAGTTATTTTATGACATCATAACATGGGTAGCAACGCAAATAACAATAAGTTACACGGTTGTACCGTTTGTACTTCTTTCTATAAAACCATCATTCAAATTTTACAGGTAAGTGCTACTCTTCAGCTGCCTGGAGGAGTCGCTGTGTTCACAAAGAAAGTTCTGTACTAACTGAATAGAATAACAGAAAGTGTCTTAGTCAGGGTTTCTATTGCTGTGACAAAACACCATGACCAGAAAACAAGCTGGGGAGGAAAGGGTTTATTTGGCTTATACTTATGCATTCCTGTTTATTACTGAAGAAAGTCAGGACAGGAACTCATGGAGGCAGGAGCTGATGCAGAGGTCATGGAGGGTTCTGCTTACTGGCTTGCTCACCATGGCTTGCTCAGCCTGCTTTCTTATAGAATCCAGGACCACCAGCCTCCACCTACCATGGACTGTACCATTTCCACCCTGAGATTCAAAACTTTAGCTGTCCGGGGAAGGTAGCTCAGTGCTACGGTGGTTCTCTATATTTCGGGGCCCTGGGTACACTCTGCAGCACCCCAAGAAAACAATAATTGAGAAAATGCCTTACAGCTGGATCTCACGGAGGCATTCCCTCAACAGCTTCCTTCTTCTCTGATGACTCCAGTTTGTGTCAACTACACAAATAATATTGCAGCCACATTTCTGCCATTAAGTATATTATCAATTTCCATGGCACAGCTCATCCTGTTTAGCCCAAAGGTGGAAGTGTGGTTCCCTCAGTGGTACCAGCAGAGGGACCCTGCCCCCACCCCAGGAAGACTGGGCTGTAGCCTAAGTGTCCAGAAAATGGCTAGAAAGGGAAGGGGGGCATGCTTTATCGATTACTAATTAGCTGGATTTTCAAGTCATAGGAAAGTATTTGCACTTACTGCCTCCCCCCCCACCCCCTTCTCTGCTTGGCTGACAGCTGAAAGCCTCTGTATTTCGGAAGTCACTGTCTGAAAGTCAGTGTTTCCCGTTACTCTTCCATCTGTCCCTGCTCCACAGCATCCACTACTCCCGTGTTAACAACGTGTTTGAAATTAGAAGCTTGATTCTCTCCATTTCTGTGGGGTTTGTGACTTCAGCACAAGAATCTGTGGTCAAAGAATTAGATGCTGGCATTAGGACCAAGCTTGATAGCCACACAGGAAAGACAAATGATTGGTTAAAGTGTCCATGTCAGCAAAGTTTGTTCATTTAAAAATGTGGGTGGGTTATTGGTTGGATTGTCTGTCCCATATTTCTTTGGTCAGTCACTTTGAACTTTCAACTTTGGAAGCAGTTAAGGTCCTATCAGACCAGCAGATTTAGGGACTGATTTTCTGGTGGTTTTCTTAAGTACAACCTGTCACACAGTGTTTGTTACCCTACTGCTCACATTGTTTCAGTCTTAGTAAACTGAGTGACAGTGGCTTTGGGGAAGGCCAAGAAGGGACTCAACTCTTCTCTTGTCTGTCCAGTGTCCTCTGGTGACCCCACATGTAATTTTGTGGGTACGTTCAGACTGATGCCTCTGCTAATGAATGCCTTTTTGTTTGTGTCCTGTGTAGCCTCATGAGCCTTACAAAACATTGCAGTGTGCCTAGGCCTAAACTCGCAAGCTGGGGGTGTAATGCCGTTATTCATGCCCAGGCATACACTGTGGAAAAAGGGAGGAAAAATACGGTGGATAACCCACGTTAGCAGGGCCCTGGATGTTGGCAAAGGTGAAGCTGGTAAACCATTTTCCTTTTCCTTTTACCTCCTGGTATTACTGCCTTCACATCTGCAGTATCTTAGTGTTGCTGTTGCTGCCGGTGAAAAAATCTCCAAGGGAAAAGAGCACACAGGAAAATGTTCGGCTCTCACGAGCCAAGAAGTTTGACGAAAAAGAAAATTCTCTAGGACAAAACAGTTTTTCCATGACAAATAATGTTTGCACTCAGAACCAAGACATTGCCTCTAGACACTTGTCACTAACACAGTGACTGGGAGAGCGCATGATGGCTGTTTCCCGCCTGTGAACAGAAACCAGTCCTGATGCCTTTCCAGAGACAAACTGGGTGGAAACGGGACAGTCTCAGAGAGGGGATTTCCTGTACACCAGATTGGAAACGGAGTGAAATAACCCTTCCCATGCCAATGTTCCTGTGGGTCCGCCTTACACAAAATCTTTCCATGTTTCAATAGGGCACTCGCCATAGCGTATGCCCTCCAGGTCATATGTATGCCCTGTTGTTGAATGTACACTGTGTATCCCAAGGCACTGAAGAGCTGGAAAAATGATCATATGTCAATCTGGATGATTGAAAGGTTAACTGTTTCCAAATGAATGTCTTGCCTTAAACCTTCTGTTTCCTAAAATGTTGTTCCTGGATGGTATTTTCAAGTGTAGTATTGTGAGGAGACAATTTCACTATTTGATGTGCTGCCCTGCAGAGTGGGAGTGAGGAGGAGGAGGTTAAACCGGATAGTTAAGATTGTGGGTACTTGAAAAATGCAATAAACATCTCAGTATTTGAAGAGTTTTCTTGAGGTAGCTCAGAGGGCTGCATCCATGGTAGAGCTGTGTACAGTCAGGGCTGTTAAATTACAGGTAGCTTATTCTGCTGGAGCTTAATTACCTGGTGTCAGTTAGGGGCTTTCAGGATGACTTTCTTAAACATAATTAAAGGTTGGCAATGTGATATTTTAGGCTTATTTTCTTAAGAAAAAAAATAGTGAGAGGGAAGATGAGATGAAGAAAGCACTGTGTGGTCCAGAGCCAGGACCAGAGGCTTCCCCCTTTCGTGCCCAAGATCAGTGTGACTGTGTGGGACACAGAAAGACTAATAAGGTGGTAATACTGTGGACTTTATGAAGAAATTTCTCAAGCATAAATTACATAGAATTAGAAGAGATTATGAGTAACAGTGGTAGATTATTTGAAGATTTTGAAAGAGATCTCCAGTGATTAAGGTTATTATATGGTTCATTGGTTTCTTGTCCTTGTCATTTTCATTGCTATTTGGGAAAGATTTAGGGGGGAAAAACTTAGTTGCTGAGCCTAAATGACATTTTTAAAAATTAATAAATTAGTTTCTACATTCTTTAACTTCACGTATTAAAATTCTTCCGTTAAAATCTTGTTAAGATGGGTGTTAGATTCTATCAAAACAAATACTTTTGGTGTTTTCTTCTTAGGGGGCCACTCTTGACTATGTGACTGGGTATGTCTTTGATCTAACAACAGTGTGCTGTGGGCTGCAACAGCTGTAAGGGGAGGGGGAGGCTATGAGGCCATGGAACCGAGCTATAGACTGTAGGTTCCGCCTTGTGAGAGAAAGGCTGGGCTTGTGGGCCTCTCTGTTATTAGACCGGTCTTTTTGTGAAATTTGTTTTGGTTTTGCCTTAAATTTTCAAATGAAATGCAAATTATCAGTCTACAATCAGTTGGGGTTTTTTTGTTTGTTTTTGTTTTGGTCACTAATACACTTGTGAGTAAAGTTAAGAAGCAACCAGCAGTGATGATGTAAAAGTTAGGGTTTTAGTGGAACAAGAAAGGTGCCTGGGTCAGTGTGGCATTCTAGGACTTTGCAGGTATGGGTGGCACATTTGCTTTTCTGAAGGCAGATTGTCTGCATCTGATTAGGAGACGCCCACCACACACCCCCCCCCTTCCCGAGAAAGGGCTGGTAAATACTTTTTCTTAGTTTCCCCACGTGTTGAAACCAACCTAGCTGTAGGATTTGAGAGGAAAGAAGGGTTGATGGATAGTGCCTGCCTGCAAATGTCTGCAATTTCATGCATACCATGGAGAATCAATCACTATTAAAGAAAGTGATCAAACCCAAAGCCTAAAAGACAGCCACAGGCATTTCATAAGGGAGAGCTGGAGACCCAGTAGAAACTGCTGAAGGATTGCTGTGCCTATCCAGCCACTTACAAATAACCCTCCCCCCATTTATTCCTGTTACCCAAACACATTTTATTTTTAGGCCTATCACACTTGAGTCAATGTTGCCTGTTTCCTCTCAAGGAATTTATAATCATAGTACTATCATCCAAAAAGCAAGACAATGATCATTGTTCTATTCCCAGACGATGATACACAGCACATCCAATTTGACTGATTTCTTTGTTTCAGTCTTCTATAGCTACTAGTTATATTTCTGAGATCATTTTGGGGGGGGCAGGTCGAATGGCTGTCTTCTAATTTGGAGAAATAATCATAGTTATGCAATCTAAAATAAAATAAATCAAATTCTCAATTTTTCTCAAAAATTATATTCTATAAAATGAATATCTCTAGTTGGGATGTTTATAAAGATTATTTTGCTCCTACTTAGAAGGATTTAGACTAACATTGTGCTACTGTTAATTGTGAAGAGGTCATTATAATATGTGCTTGCTGAGTTTTAACAGGGAGAACAGGTTTCAGTGTGTGTTTATATTGTTTTCCATCCCGTGAGTGTCCTGAAGTCACTCTAGAAAGGGGTCAGTCTACATCATATTTATACTTCTGTTTGGTTATAAATTACTCAGGGAAAATAGAACAAAAATATTTCTTCCCTCATCATTTCCTTGAAACAATAATTATTAATTTGATGTGTCTCAGCTCACTGTATTTAATCAGAACTCGGCGTGCTTGATTAGCTTCTGGAATGCCCAGAATTGGAGAGAAGGCTCCATGGGCCCGATCACTGTGTCTTATGGATGACACCCATACAGGGCATTTCCACACATGCCAATTTTGAAGTCACCATCTAGAAAGTGACAATGGCTTCCTGTAAGTACTAACTGGCCTGACTGGTCCTTCTGGCTCTTGCCTGGGGGGGCACCCTGAAACCCCCAAGCCTGTAAGGTGAAGGGCAGGTCACTGTAGGCTGCTTTACTCTATATTTTAAATGGCAGAAAGCAATTTTAAATTGCCATCCAAATAACCATAAAGGTTTTATTTTTGAAAACTAGATCAAACATTTAGGACAAATGCTTTTCCTGTTTAAAACCCATACCTCCTCAGTGTTCAACTTGTGTATTCATGAGTAAATCTGGACAGTTGTACTTATCAGATGTTCCCACAAGTATCAGCTCATTGATTCTAAGAGTTCTATATCATAATTGTCACATTCTTGAAAGAGTAGACATGTCTAGAATAATTGCCACTACTTTGTCCACTGAGGATTGATTGGCTCAAACACATAGTTACAAAACAGTATTTTATTCATTCTTTAATAGTCTACCCTGGCTGAAATTCAACACACCCAGTTTAACCTAGGTGCAGAATTCTAGATTACACTGTGACTGTAACCTTACCTGTCTCGAGGATCATATATACCTGTTACACTCTACTGGTGGCATCTAAGGAATGGCACTTGCCTTGGATGCTAAATTTCTGCTTCCCACTGCCCTTGGAAAAGTGAGTTTGTATCAGAGAGGCTTCTGAATGCAAAAGGAAGAGACTTGCAGCTAAAACAAATCCACTCGACGGATTAGGATGTAGCCATTCTCTACAGTGATTTTTCTGTAACACCTCGTATTCAAATCTCTTTGTAGAGAGTGACTCTCTTTACAGAGGGAAAATTCAAAACGGGATTTCCCACGTTGATATTTTGTAGGGATGCTCTTGTAATCAATGCCTCAGCTGCTTTTTAAGGCTCTTGTTGTACAGAGGGTGCAGCCCATTACGTGAATTAGTAGGCTGCTGAATAATGTTTTGTATGTTCTCAAATAACAATTTATTTTAATAGGTTTTTTTTTTTTTAACACAATGCAAATTCCAGTGAAGAGCTGACAAGATGCTCCATAGGTCAGTGATTGGGGAGACTCTGTTAAACAACCTAATGACGCATTTATACGCCAGCTAATTTCTCTTGCCTTTAAAACTGGTGGTGACTCAATGGCATTTTTAGAAGCAAGGGGCAGCCTATCTGTTCCAGAAACAGCACGTCAAAGATCTTTGTAAACCACTGTCTGACACTGATCCAGTGATACATGGCCACCTCTACCTGTGCTCACTGTAACTAGCATGGAATAGAATGTAAAGCCAAAAGTCACAGAGCAAGGGAAAGTCAAATGACTAAGCAGTTTTTCGGGCGAGTGCCTGGAATGGAAGAGTGGCTGTTTGCTGCCCATTGCCACCTGTGTGTCACCGCTCCCCTGCAAGGGCTGTGTTTTGGGCTAACTTATTTGGGAGGTTGTTTTGTTAGTGATCATCTCTGTTCATTCGTGGGGCGGGGGAAGACACATGTAGAGTGATTGTCAGACTTAAAATATGCCTCTTTATCTCATTTTAAATGTCTTTGGTTCTGTCCACACCCATCTGTCAGCAAAGTCCATTCGCTGCTGACTTGATCACACACAAAAAGACTCCTGTGGGAATGAAAACACAATCTCATCTGTCTTCTGTCACCTTGACGTACATGAAGGCGTCTCCACACCCGAAGGAGTGCCGTGTGAGGCAATAGGAGCGAAAGGGACACAGACGTGACGTGAAAGTCCCATCATGTTAAGGTGAAGGCCTGGCTTCAAATCTGCCTTCCCTTCCAGCTGAGGGCCGGCAGGGTCCTCCTGACCCGAGAGGCCCTCGCCTCTCACAGTCACTGTTCGTTCACAGTATTTCCCTTTGCCTTCCCAGGTGGAGAATATCATATGGTGGTCTGTGCTTTGTCTGTTTTTGTTTTTATTATTCCAAAATATTTTTAAAGAAGTGTTATTTTTCAACCGATCCAGAAATCAGTTCTCAGTGTACAGTGAATTGAAACCATCACTGTGTCAGCCAAGCTGTGCTGTGATGAGCCGTAGCCACTCTTGTTAGCCCCTGTCCTCAGAGCTGCACAGTGGCTTATTGCTGGCTTGCAAAGGTATTTTTAACCACATGTTTTTTTATTTTTCTTATTTATGTGTCTTTAAAACCAATTAAACAGTAATTTAAAAGAACCCATGTATGTTTGCTTATTTCAGAGGTTAAATCCAATCTTTGGGTAGATAAACCCAGAGAACAATCTCATGAGCAAATGCTTTTTGTCATTGATTCTTTCAATTACCTCAAACATTATTCCAGTTAAGTTTTTATTATTATGTATGGGGAGGTACACGCGATATGTTGCTTGTATGGCCAGAGGACAATATGGAGTCTGTTCTCCCTTAATGTGGGTTGTGGCCATTGACCTTGGGTCTTAAGACTTCCCCTCTGAGCCATCTCAATGGCCCGTAAGTGTTAAAAAAACAACAACTGAAACCACTCTAAGATGGTATGAAGATCTATTAGCCTACAACAGACTAATCATTTCAGAAGGCTTCAGTTTTCCTAGTTTGGAAGGAAGAGCCGACTTTAGGGCGCCCTGGCTACCTCTCTCCCACCCATGCCTGTCCTGACTTGGCTTTTGCTTCTGGAAGCTGTGCCGAGTTCTCACTGGATAAGCAGTTTCTCTATCACAGTGACTTGTCGGGCCTTCAGTGAGTCCTTGAGGTATTTTCTTGATTCTGCTGTGGGGGGAAATATGTTAACTTTTATTTTTAAAAAATCATTTTATGTGTATGGTGTTTTGTCTGCACTACATGAGTGCCTTAGTTACCTTCCAAAGTATGTATGGCAGATCCTTTAAGGACTACATCACTGTCTAAGTGTAAAGGAGAAAGGGTCTTGGATGAGCTATGGTGTGTAGCATTGTGAGCAAAGCCTAGAGCCCCCTTGCTATCCCCCACCCAGCACAAAGTGCCTGTGCAGTGGGGGATGGAGAGCTGGGGGAGTATGGATACTCCCATGAGGCCCCTCGGCTCCTCTTTGCTGGACTGGTATGCTGGGATAAGTGCCTATCTGGAGGGGGAAGAAAAGCTAGGTCAAGGATTCTCCAGTGTGTTAGCCATAGTAGACTAGGAACAGCAGAATTGAAAATTTTTTTGCATGCAAGATGCTGACCTATTTAACAGTAATTCCCAGGTTAGAACAGGAAAGTGGGAAATTGTTAGGCCTTTCATTGTTTAAAGAAGCTCAAGCCTGTAGGCACAGAACACACCCGCATTCCCGCTGCTTGGTTTGAACAGATGTTCCTGCTTTTAGCACAGCAGACTCCTGTTTTTTCTTGAGGGCTAGGGATGGACTGCAGGGTCTTG